TCACCACCCTTGCGGAAAAATCCTGTAACCGCCATCGAATGGACCCCCACTGATAACCCAGTGCATTCAGTTTTGGAGATCGTAAAGCGAGCAGACGACAGCGATGCAATGTACGTGTGAACCCTCCCCCCTGTCTCTTTAAATCGCGACTGTCACGCGCGATGCTGTCAGTGACAAGGAGTGACAAGACGAGCGGAAGCGACAAACGCCGCCATAGCAATCAACGCGGCTGCAAACACATGCTGCAAACTTCGAAGGGGGCCGAGGCATTGGATGGTAGTACACTTGAGTCCGCTGCAAAAAATCTGAAGAGCTGCGTATTGCTCCGCACGAATTTTGCGATAGCCAAACGTTTTACACCAGTTTTTTTTTATTACAGCGTTCGGTAACGTGATGAAATTATCAAAGCGTCCATGCTGAGTAAGAAAAAAAAAAGCCACGAACCGACTACGACGATATGACATTTCCTTCCTCAACGCACGGGAAACGGCCGCTTCTGAAAGACGCTAGTGTCAGTACTAAACCGGGGAGCTACAGGATGTATGTCATTCCGAGACATTACTGAATTCCGCAAATGGCAACTTCTCATTGGCCCAGAGGGCTCCTACTGCTGCTCCGGTTGGCTTGAAAATGCCGCAATTAGGAATTTTTTACAAGGCGGAATTTTAAAGTGTCGCAGCGCATAGCAGCGCCCTTGTCGGTAATCTTGATATTCATCATCGCCAGCATCAGCCTGACCACGCCCATTGCGGGACAAAGACCTAGCTCTCTTATGTTCCGCCAGTCAACTCGGTCCTGTGCTTGCTGCTGCCACTTTACACCCGCAAACTTCCTAATATCATTTGTTCATCTAGCTTTCTGTCTCTCCCTCACCCGCTTGCCTTCTCCAAGAATCCGATCTGTGGTACTTTATGACCAGCGGCTATACCTTGCCTTCGCGCTAGGTGCCCTGCCCATGACCAGTTCTTGATTTCGACTACGATGTCGCTATAACGCTTGTTGGTTCCCCGATTCATATTACGCTGCGGTTAATAACATTAGCGACACTTGATTAACATGTGGGGTTTAACGTGCCAAGACCACCATTTGATTATGAGAGACGCCGTAGTGGAGGGCTCCGGAAATTTAGACCACCTAAGGTTCTTTGACGTGCACCCACATCTGAGCACACAGGCCTACAACATTTCCGCCTCCATCGGAAATGCAGCCGCCGCAGCCGGGATTCGATCCCGCGACCTGCGGGTCAGCAGCCGAGTACCTTAGCCACTAGACCACCGCGGCGTGGCACGTTAGCGACACTTGTTTTGCGTCGTGGCATAAACTTCGATGAATATGTGGAGCTCTTTTTCAGGAGCTCAGAGTTAAATGCACGATGCAACTATCGCCGTCTATGCCGCACAACGTCCGATCGTTCCACCAACGCCGAGCTACTCAAAGGTTTTTGACGGAGCTTAATTACATGTCACAGGTGCGCCCCTGGCAGTTCTCTCAAATTAGTTATGGGGACTCTTGAGCCTGAACGTGGCATGCGAGACTCCACGTTTCACTCGCAGCAATGCAACAGAACGCTTCGACGAGTAATTATCTGGGCGTCAAAATAATTACGAAGAAATGGGTATGATAGCTGAAATGATGCAATCAGAGTTTCAGAAAAGTTGGCACGCCCCGTTGCTCGCAGTATACGGTGGCATGCAAAGGAGCTACTACACCATAGGAAAAAAAAAAGATCCATGCAAATCCACGAAGTGAATGCTGATGATGGAGCGAAGCAGTGTGGATCGTGGCCTTTCTCGTTCTGGTTAAGAGTCTTTAATTTCTTCTGTCATACGTTTTGGTTGATGGGTGGTTAAAAGTCCGTGTTTTTCCGGAGCCTGTGGCTTTTATTTTGTTTGTTCTGGTTAACACCCGTTTGATAACTTTTTTTTGTTGCTTACAGATGTTCCTGTAGACGGCGGTTTATAGACGGATGCACAAAAAAATAATGTTCTGGACTACACCGAGTTCTCATATGCCACGTGAGTGACCCACTCTAAAGCACGGAACTCAATCTCAAGCCCATTACCGAGCCGCAGAATCGAAACGTAGCCCCGCAACGGTCCCAGACGGTAAAGAAGTGTAAAGCAGAGGGAGGGGGTGAACAAAAATTCATCACACATTGCCGTTTGAAAGGAAGCAGTCGTCATATCTCATATATGTTTTTTTTTTCTAAATGGGATTCGGTGTCAAATCCAAAGCAACATACCAATACCGATCTTACACAATGACTAATCTCTACAGGTGCCGATACTAAAAACAACAACTTTTTCTTTTTTTCGCAGTTACGTTTTCAACACGAGGTGACCGAAGGGGCTACCTCACGAAAAAGGAAGCTTTAAACGAGTCATTTATATGTAGCTTACCCACGCAGAGCTCTAATAATAGCGATAGCCGAAATATATTACGAGCCACGTCGAATTGTCCCAAACAGTCACAAAATAACAAACCAAATATGAGAAAAAATGTCATGTGCGGGCCTCAAGAGAATGTTCCGCGGGCCTTGAGTTTGATGCCATCATTTGCACCTCACGAATCTGCGGAGAGAGTAGTACAGTAGAGGCGAGTGACACTCTGAGTGTACTTACATACACTTCCGAGTCGCATCAGTGAATCATTTCAGGGCATTTTTAGGGGCGAAGCTCCTTATGGCGTCGCCCGTTCATCTCCCGTTATCGTTTTAACCATCGGTGGCAGATACTCGAGAGAGCAGGTATGTGCCACAGGAGATAGACTTCTAGGGACGAAGCTCCTTAAGCCGTGCGTCGTCGATGCATGTAGTAGGTAGCCACCTCTCATTTAGTTCTTGGACGATCACTAGATAGTGGTACTTCTATATAATCAATATGATGAAAAGATGCGAGATGGTGGCACTTGGAATGTTCACTAGGCGGACATACAGACAGACGCACGGACAGATCGACCATCGGTTGGATGGACGGGTGTACGAACGGACGGACAAACGCTTCGCCCCGCTCATCATAATTCAGTCCGTGGATATGCTTAGATTTTTTTCTTTTGCGCTCTGCTGACAACGCACAAACGTTTCAGGCCTTCGAGATGAAAACAAATTCGTGGCCTCTGAGAATTCCAATAGATTGGCTCATCACCTAAGGTGAGTAAATAATAGACGACTGAGCACGGATCATAAATTAGAAGAGCGGAAACCAGTGCAACTTGGTTCGCCGGGACCAAGGACGCTTTATGTATATAACGAGAGTAATATTTCGATGGGCAAGCTGTATTCGTTAAGGTACAGGTTATAATACAACGGAAGCGTTGTGTGAACAATTAACGATACATAAAATTATCTCCCAATAGTTTCGGGAAGGGCCCTTCCTTCGTCAGAGCATGAGTTGAACTCATTCCCTGACGAAGGGAACGCTGCCATTGTGGTATATCCCATTTATATATATATATATATATATCTGTGTGTGTGTGAGGAAGAGGAAAGACCGAAACATTCACGGTTGCGTCGGCAATCACCGCCTATATTTCATTGTTAAAGCGGACGCTTAAAAATGGAACGATCGATGAAGCTTAATAGCCATTACTAATCCAGTTTATCACGGCAGTCTGCGACGACAATGCGAACAATAGTCGAGAATACGCGGCGGTAGATGGGCCACCCTCGCCGGCTTCTGCTTGCGCAATGGACGGACCCCGGGTTCCCGTCACAATGACCACGAAGGAACGGCCGATCAACTAATGCACGTCGTTTTTTTTTTTTTTGCTCTTTTTTAATCTCTTCTTCCACGGGAGGCTAGGATCAGCTATCCTACAGGGTCAACCAAAAAAGAAAGAGGAGGGGGTAGAGAGGGCTTGGCAACACGCTTTCAAAAGGGGCGTAGTCAACTTTTGTTTTCTTTTTTTGTGGGAAGGGGGTGTGTATACTACATATGCTCCTCTAGCATTCACGATGAGATACTTTTCTACACTATAAAAAAAACATCATTGACAAATAAACACCAAACAATGTGGAAGCTGTCAGCTAAAGCTGGGACTAACGGAAAGAATGGGGGGAGGGGCGTCAAGCACATGACGTAATAATCGAACTATAGCCACATCACCCTCCTAAAAGAAAAAAAAGAAAAACGGGCACGGTGAATAACTCATTCGAATTCGCTCTCTCAAGGGAGGCGGTGGCATAGCGGTAAAGGGAACGCCGGGAGCGAGAACGTTCGGAGGAAGCCCCACCGCAGAGAAAACGCACGCTCGAAGAACCCGCCCGAGTTTTTCTTTCTCTTATTTTAACGTCCGAGAACCGGTACACGGCCACGTTACGCGCGTTTCAAACGTGGTGAACAGGTTCACCCCCCCCCCCCCCACCCCCTGGTAGTGTCTCTTGACGAGAACATCTATAAACGCTATATGGCGCACGTTATATCGCCAGTTAGCTTCTACACGGATTGATAGGAGGGGGTGGCGGCAGAATGCCGGCCGATCGCGTGACACGCCTTCATCCACCCCCGAATGCCTACCGTCGGTGATGTAGTGGCCGAATCGACGAAAGCCGGGGAAGGAGGAAATGCCGGCGCGAATTTCCGCCCGTGAGGTAAGGCAGAAAATGCTTCTCGTACTCGTGGTCGAGAAATGTAGATTTTTGCAGCAGCCTCGCATTTATCGATTTATTTGCCTCACGAACGGAACGAAATTCGGCTTCCCGGCATAACACGGGCGGCTGCCGGAGCAGGGGAAATTTTTCCGTCAAAGACGCCACGTGAGACGGGAGAACACGTGAGACGACGCCGGCAGATGAAGTGGCGTGAGGCGATCGATGATCATATTTCGAAGCAATGTTCGAAGTGAGACGAGAGTGCTAGCCATACGCGTCCTCTGTCTGAAATGTTCCCGCGTTCATGCGATTTGTTCGCTTTAAAAATGCTAACGCACGTGCACGCAAAGGTGGGCCGCCGCTGCCCCCGCCTTCGATTTGACTGTTTTTTACTGAAAAAGGGAGAACTCACCGAGTGCCTTGAGGAACTCGTCGAAGTTCTCGCTCTCGTGGAGCTTCCACTTGCCTACGAAAGCTGCTGCCATGGCTTCTAGTGGGGGTTGGAAAAGGCGTTGAGACGCTGGCAGAGGAGAGACTACGAAGCTGACTGCGCGCGGGACGGAGGCTGTAGTGAACTTTCGATGACGGCTTTGCCGGTGTCTTGCTCAGAGCGGGGATGGAGAGAGAGGGAGCGCGTGCGAATTGGAACCAAAGGAGAGGAGGGGTAACCGAAAGAGCGCGGCACAAATCGGAGGACACACCACGTGAATGAGAGAGAAGCCATGCCGCAGCAATGCTCTTCACTTGATACCTCCTCTCAGCTTACTCTTTTTTTCTTTCAGCGTCGCTGGCTCTTTTGTACTCTCCTCCGCAGCTTCGCCCTTTCATGTCTAGTGTCGTAGCTGTCATCGGCTCGGCACAGGTACTTCACGGGACAACAATTCACGCAGCCGGGAGCTATTGCTCACATATATCTCGCAAGCTGATTGCGTAATTAACGCTATTTCATGCGTCGCGATAGACGACGCACGCAAAAGCTCAAGGCGCCGCTAGTTCTTGATGCAACAAAGCACAGTCCGCGAGAATCATTTCTTAACGCAAATCATAGCAGTCTATAGCACATGCTGCTTCCGTTAACTGTTGTAATATTCGGTCTGGCTTTACGTTTCAAATAAAGTTCACGGTTACAACTTTTCTTCATTAAAGAGCTTTACTGATTCGCCGCCTGGGGGCCTCTTGTTCCAGCGGCGTTGCATTTGCTTTCGTTTTCTTTGTGCTGTTTTTGCCTTGGCTCGCGAATTTGCTGCGCCGATTTGTGCCACTTGCTTCGCTTTCCGCGAAAATATTGCCCCAGAGGTGAGTGTCTGACTTTGTTTGGAAACTTTATTGAGTACATATGTGAGTACTCTGACGCTGATGTGCCGCAGTGCATAAAAATACGTAATGGCGAGCCAAAATCGGGACGGAAGGGGTGGTTATTTAGCGCCTTAAGCCTAACCGTCTCCCGACTCCTGTCGTCGTAGCTCGTACGATTGCTTGTTATTTACTCCAGTGTGCTGTTCGTGAGCGTTCTTTTAGTTCATGTAGGGCCTCTGTGGCTCTCGTTTCTTTGCAGATGACACGCAACTCCCCACTGAGATCCGAGAGAACGCCACCGAGCTCCTACAGCCGGACGGTAGGCCTCACTCCTAACGGAGACCTGCGATTCTTTATCGTTTGTGCTTGCAAAAGACGAACTGCCTGCTCTTGTACGATGTTTCTATCACCACCGCTAGATGCATGTTGTGCATTGTAATTGGCGCTATTTGGTGAACGTGCTCGCCTACACAGTTGGCTGACGCGATTAGGATCCGTGTTTACAAGTAAAATGGGAGATAACACGTATGTTTAGCTATGTTTCGTGTTTTGCATTAAAAAGCACCGGGGCGAAAGAGAGATGATAGCTTTGATAAGCGTGGATCGTTCCTTTAACCCGATATTTCAGCGCGATGTGATTTTTTTTTTCTCGTTTTGTCTCCCGTGTGCCTTACATGATGTAATCGGGTATGTTTCCACAATGCGTGTAAGGCCTTAAGTCGCCCTGAGTTGTATTGTTGTGATGGTGTCGCGTGTTTTATGAATTGTGATAAATGACATGAAACAAAGAACGAATCGCGAAAGAGCCGTTCCTTGATGTTCTTACTTCTCGCGGTATTAACACGTCTTGTATGACCATTGCTACCCAAGAAACATCTTGAGATTGCCACCGTCATACTGTCGACCACAGGCGGATGACACCCTACCCAGCCTAGCGGGGCGAAGGTACGTAACGTCATTCACGGTAAACGGTCTGTCAAATATATTCTACTGAGACTGCCTTACTTTGACCCTTCATCCCTCTCTCTCGTAGACTAGTTTTTGCTTGTTTGTATGTCATAGCTCCTTAAGAAAAAACTTGCGAAGTCGTCCGAGTAGTGTAGCTTTAGATGCTTCCTAAACCTTTATGTGCATTGATAGTTTAACGAATGCCCTACTTACCTATAATTTGCAGGTGCACACTCGGGTGTGTTCACACTACTCAAGCGCGTAATCATTGCTCAATGTATGCAGTAACTAGGTATTACGTTATGGTGGTTTTGGGACGTTAAACCCCACATAATAACTAGGTATTAGTCTTTACGTAAAGGCAAGTAAGGCAGTCTTCTGTGAATTTAGCTTTTTCTTCTTTAATTTTTAATGTGGCAGCATGGAACTTATGTACATGATGTGCCTATCTTTATCTGCAGCACAGAGTTGGCATTCACTATTTGCTGTACGAAAAGTTTGTGGTTTTCGGGCAGGATCGTTGGAGGGGAAAATGCTATAATGAAGCCTTCTGTGATGTCTCTTTAAAATTATTATTGCTGATTTTTTTGTACCCAAAATGACCTGACCATATTTTCTACGTGGATTTCGAAAACTGGCACTTCACACGAATATCATTTTTCTTGTGTCATTACTGAGGCATCTTGGTGTTTATCTTTTGTGCTGAAAATGTCATTCAAGAGTTCCGGAGGAACAAATTGGCCACAATTTAGTGCATGTCAGCGGTTGAAAGCCATGCACTGTTGTGAGGTTAAAGCAGTATCCCATAGCCAGATACAACTTGTAAGTAACGGCATTCCCACTTGAAAAGCAGATGCGAGTGCGCTCTACAATAGTGATTCAAGTCTTAGTGACTTCGATCGAGTGGCATCGCAGAGCACATGAGTGGGACAATTTTGTTAGCTGTGGTGGCAATCGACTACCATGCTTCAGTCATAGGTTGCACACTTGACCTCGTTACAACGGACCTGGTTATAGCAAAATATTGGTTATAATGAAGTAAATTAAAAATAGTCTTGCAATAGATATAGTGTTAAAAACAAACATAACAAATTTTAGGATCCAACAAACTTATTTTTGTGCAAGATGCAACTATGTTATAATGTGGTTTGAGTATATCTGACTCTAGTTTCTAGTGGGGAACACGGAGCTCCATAGTCATTGCAATGTCTCGGCGCAGTGCGGAGGGGCGTTTTCCCTAACTGTTCGCTTCAATTCCAGAGCTTTGTCTTCTGTAACGGGGTGCAGGAATGCCCGGCGAAGTACAGGGCTTGGTGTGTGATTTAGATGCACGTGGACACTGCCCTGTGATAAGGGGATCTCAAACGCACACGAGGAGCTCTTGTTTGCTGCTTGATAAGGCAGTGGTTTTTAACAAAGCAAGCCATGCTAGTCTGGGGCACTGCTCTTGCCTTCGGCTCAACCCTAATTCCCTGGGCTGATTTGTTTGGGTCATTTAGTCCCGAGCTTGCTACGCCACAACTAGATGCATGCTCTATAGCTAGAGGGCAACTTTGTAGTTGGCAAAGGCCCTCTTTTATTTATCTTGCACATTCAGTCACGACAAGGTCTTTACAATGCAGCATGGATAGGGTGAATCAGCTAGCTTTCATACTTGTTGCGTTGACTCTGCAAAAATTTTATTGCGTACGGAAACATACTTTAATTCGTGCAAACAGACTACCCATATCTAGAGGTTCGAATAAAACCGAAGCAGCTGCTCTCGGTTTAAACATCCTTTTGTGTGCATGTTTCTGCAGCTACAGGGGCCACTTAATTCCAAGCCACTCTGCCCATATTTATCTTGTATATTGCGATATTTTTTGAGTCACACTCCTGCTTTTTTGATGCCCCTGTCTTCTACCACTTTTTCAAGTACCAAGAACTAGTTTGCTAGACAATACCTCATATAAAACCCTGCCTCAAGTGCCCGTCACAAACCGCAGTACAAGGAATTTCTGATTTGAAGTTCATTGCTTGAGAGCAGTTTCTTTCACTGCAGTTCATTCGTGCGAAGTGAAACCTCTTGTGATAAGTGTGAAGTAACCTTTTATTCTTTCCCTGTCCTTTTTGCACCTCCTCAGACCCGGAGAACGCATAGTGACACACGCCCGCCTTTATCCCCCATGTTAGATGTTTCTCTTTCCCAGGACACTGACCGTTCGAGGCATCGCACTAGCCGCCGTCGAAGTGGTTCAAGGAGTCGCAGCCGATCCGGAAGCCGCAGCCGGGACCGTCACGGCAGCAGCTCCAGGGGCAGTGGAAGCCATCGGAGCCACAGGCGCCATGGTGACCGCAGCCGGGAGCGTTCCCATCGTCGAGACAGGGACAGCTCGCGTTCACGCAGCAATAGGAGGAGCCGTAGTCGCAGTGGGAGCCGAAGCCGGAGGGAGTTCTCCAAGAAGTCCTCATCGGAGAGGTTCGAAATGGAGGACAGAGCACTTGCCTCTTCAGCGAGCAGCACTACTACTAGGGCACTGGCTGTTTCAGCAGGTGAGTGGAATCGGAGCATAGGGGTAACTTGAATGATAAATGATATTGTACTTTTGGCACTCCATTGAAAGTTGATCTGGCTATACTTAAGGGGGGACGCGCCCTTTGAAAACCGAAAAATCGCGAAAAAGTCGATTTTTTGAAAACCACATACTCGGGCAGTATGACTCATAAACTGCGTCTACTGTAAATATCAATGTCTAATTCATCGCAAAAGTACGTCAAATAAATTTTATAACATGCCGCGGCAGCCGGCAAGCGGCGAGCGAGCGCCAAAAATACCCCAACTTCGCGCGCTCGCCATTTCCCAACCGCTCGGCCGATCGCCGCCATCTTGATGTTGTTTTGCTCGTGAATTCTTGCGCTTTTTTTTTTCGCCACCCGCGGCAGTGGCAGTGGCGCTCCGAGGCGGGAGTCGCTCACGATTGGGGGGCTCGCGGAAGCTTTCGAATGTCCCTCTGCCTGGATGTGAAGGCGCGATTGGATCAAGCGCGCGCCTCTTGAGGGAATGGGGGAACGTGCGGCTCCTATTGGCTGCTGCGCGCGATGACGTAGCTGCTTCTCCGGCATGCGCCGGCTCGTCGTCTGCACCGGCGCTTGCAATGCCGGCGTTCTTTGTGTGCCCCGTTTGCCATCATTCCGATCGGTCGTCACACGTGCTCCTCTATCTTTCACCGTCTCCACGAGACGATCTTCTACCGTCTTCACGAGACGATCACTACCGTCCTCACGAGACAATCTTCCACCGTGTTCACGGGACGCGGATTGTTGCGCTGACGGTCACGATGGGCATTTCGAAGTTCAAGACTCTGCACGCGTTCGGTTCAAGAAAGCGTCAGCTGAAGCTCGTACGCATGGCAAAGCTCACCTGCACGCCCACGCGCGGCGACAGTTGCACCGATGCTTCCGCTTCATCTTTTCAAGACGATTGCGTCGACGCTTCTAGCGATGAGACTTCTACACCATCGGCACAAGGATCCGTCGTGACGAGTGAGGCTGGTGTTTCGTGCTCAAGTGCGCCTGGTGTGTCGCGCTCGCCAACCGCATTGATTCCGGCCCCGAACAGTGAGTCCGCGTCGTCGACTGTGCACATCCAAACACGTTTTCGGACGTGCGAGGAGTTGGCGACGGCGGAGAGAACGTGCTGCTGTGCAACGAAAGCTTGGCGCTATGCCAGCGACCGAGAGGAAGTTTCAAGCGATGATGCCTGAACCCGAAGCTGCCACTGCTACGACCGAAGGCGAGAGATATTTCCTCGTGCAAGGGGATGCCCTTAGCGTCATGCTGTCCAAGACCCCGTGTCTGCGCTGCCTCGCGACCGGGATGAAAGTTCAAGGAGGCACCCAGCTTGGACTTGCCACGAAGCTTGAGCTGGTATGTCCACATTGTGGAATAGTTTCAAGTTCGTGGAGCTCTGCTCGTCAGAACGAGTCAAGGGCCTTCGACGTGAATATAAGAGCCATTACGGCCATGAAACAAATAGGGAAGGGACAGACAGCCCTCAACGACTTTTGGGCAACTATGAATGTTTCCCATCGTGGCCTGCACCACAGAACTTTCCAGAGGCACCTGAAGCAATTCAGATTGAACCATGTCCGGAAGAGGATGGGCACAGCCCTACGTAATCTTGTGCAGAAAAGCGAACAGGCTCTGGGAGGGAAGGGCAGATTGACAAAAGCCCTTATTGATAAACTCGCAGACTATTATGGCTGGGCACTGCGGAACGATTCAAACAATGTGGCTGCAATGCAGCGTGCAGTGATGGCGTCATATTATCACGTCACCTCAACTGACGAGGATCCTCACCATGACTTGTGCCCGGAAGGTGCAGACTCGTGGTGCCGTCATAATGCCTGCAAGGGGAATGGCGTGCCACCTCCAAAGCACAAATACAATCTTCCGGGCTACGTTGCAGAAGCGCTGCTGCCAGTCTACCAGCGCCTTTCGCAGGCTTCTCTACTGCAACGCTGCCTGGGAGCAAAGACGCAAAATGCATCGGAGTCATTCCATTCTGTCCTATGGTCCTTGATGCCCAAGGAGCAACATGCATCATTGATTGCTGTCGAGACAGTACTGCATGACGCAGTTTTGCGGTATAATTCCGGCTGCTACAGGGCCACCCAAGAGTTGTCATCAGTGGGACTTACACCTGGCCACCTAACCATTCAACGAGCTGCGGAGAAAGACTCTCTGCGTCTGAGAAAGGCTCAGAAACGAATGAATGAGAAGCAGGAAAAGCGGCAAAGAAAAAGAGAGCCTAAGGACACATCTAGCTACTCTGCAGGGTCATTTTAAACCATAATAAATGTTTGAAACTTTCGAAGTCAATTTTCTCAGAATGACTTTTTTGGCCAGTGCGGCTGCTTAGTCAGGTGATCTCTCTGGAACTGCTGGTCTGATTTCTATCAGTTTTTTTTTATTATGCACCTTAATAAATTGCCCAGGGCAAGACAAGCCCGCTTTTTCAATTTATTGTGTCTGTAATTTGTAATAATTAACTAAAACTTCATTGATGAGAGCCAAATTGTGAACATTAAATTCAGTGCTCTGCTAACATTTTTTGGCAAGGAAATTTAAAAAAAGGGCTCTGTCTTGCCCTAAAGCACCTATCCAGGAATCATCATAGTGAATTTCACAGTGCTGGCACATTTTTCAAATTCTCCAGACCCTGACTAAGGGACCCATGTGGGCTACCCTAATAAATGGCTGTAACTTGGGAACCAGTGAACATAACTGCATGAAACTTTGTGGTTATTCAAATGGCTTTGCTATTAGTGTACCCTGAAAATTTCATTACGATATCTCAACAAACAAAAAAGTTGCCCTTCGAAGGTAGCCTCCCCCCTTAAAACAGATAGGCTTGGTAAAAAGCCGTCACAGAAACTAATTGCCTCCATGAAGACCTGTGGTGCATGTCTCTAAGCCGCGAGACGACTGTTGCAAAGTGAGTTGTGGGCAAAACTACCATGGAAGTGTCATCTGTGACAAACTTCATCCTCCTATGCGTAGTGCTCTCGTGTATGCACCCTTATGTGTGCTTATCGATGATCAAGTTGGCTTGTACTTCTAGCACCACTCGAGAGCTGTGTGGGTCAAATTGAGTTGCATTTCATCGTGTACAGCAGTAACCCAGCTGTAACACTACTATTCTGGTGACATATCTGTTCTAACCACACAAAGTTGCTTTGCCATCAAGTTTTTAATGTTATTCATGATGAATAACCTTGCTATTGCACATATAAAGGGACTGTCTACCGCTCAGAAAAAGTTTTCCAATTTTGGTGCAAATGAAAAGATCGTTCATCACATCAGCGGCAACGAGCATGCTTTCGGGCCAGAAACAAAGAATTATAATTTTTACTTCATGTTGAAAGTCAACAAAAGGTGACCACTAGAGTCACCCAACAGCGAATGTTGTCAATCTTCACAATCTATTGGTAGGATAAGAAATCCTCGCAGGTAAACTTATGTTGTGTAAAAAAAACATGTTTAACTTTAAGTTGTATTTTAAGCACTTGAGGCAGCTTTAGTTGGCGCCAGAGACCAATTTTTGCTTTTTTTTTTCTCGTGTGCTTAAAGAGCCGCCAGCAGTGTGTTCGCTTGCATGCCTGCCTGCAAACAGCGGAGAAACACAACCACAGCGTCTGCCACCACTAATAGGAACAACAAAAAAGTGTGCGTGCCTACAATGACCGCTAAGGTATTTTATTATTAAGGGGGCACACTGGTTTTAGAAACTTTTTTTTTTGCTTTCCAACCAATTTTAATGAAACTCCATGGGCTTGTTCAGTTTTTTTAGCTGATTTCAAATATCCAATTAGTTTTGATGTAAGCTAATTAGTTCCCGAGATAATTAAAAATCTTTCGTGATTATTCTTGAGAACAATAGAAAAAAAAACTAGTCAACAAAATTACCAGCATGGCATGAATAGATACTAGAAGTTGTGGAGAATGAAATGACGGAAGCAGTTTTTTTGTCTGGCAATCACACATGCAAGTTTACATCAATTCTAATTTCTTGGTTTGAAGTATGCCTGCTAACCAGTTATTTAAACAATTATTTAAACGTGAAACGCAAAATCTGTTTCCCTTACTTCAAGGTTTAAACATTCAGCTTGACAATGCAAAAGAAATTATCTTTCTAGCTGCACCGCATGCCGAGATGTACCTCTCAAGAATTTCCTAAACGTCAAAAATATGCATTTTGAGAAAATGGCAAAAAACACAACGGTGCCATGTTTAATGTAAACGGTAAAACATTCTGTACATTTTTGGAGCGAAATGACTAGTAGGCCCCAGAAGCATAGCCTTGACTGCTGGCATCCAGGTGCCGCCGCTTGAGCGTCCGCTGCACAAACCCTTCCTACGTAAGAAACTGCGACGCCACTGGCAACGCTTGTGGGACACAGAAATAAATAATAAGCTTCACTTGATTAAGCCGCAGTTAGATTACTGGCCCTCCGCTACGAGAACATGGCGAACTGATGTCCTATTCTGTCGCCTCAGAATAGGACACACTTATGGTACCCATAGCTTTCTGCTGACTGGCGATCAACCTCCTACTTGTAGTAGATGTGGCGAGAGGCTAACCGTCCTCCACGTCTTCTTGGAGTGTCCAGAAGCTGAAAGAGAAAGAAATATTTTCCTTTAGCATACCGCTATCATCTTCCCTTACATCCGATTATGTTTCTTAGCGAAGAGCCGCTTTTTGATGCAAAATCAGTTCTGAGCTTTTTTAAGGATGCAGTATTGAATGTTTTTAGTCCAACACTGAATGTTTTTTAGCCCGACAAGTTCATAGCACATTCTCTGTTCAGAGGATGCCGCTGTGATAGCAGCTTTCAATGAGCCCAGGCCTCCATGCTCTTGTTTTAAGGGCTCTGTCGAAGCACTAGTGCTCCATGCCAAGTTTTTATTTCACATACATATCCCTTTTAAACCATTTTTATGCCTCCATAGCACACATTTGTCATTGCCATAATTTTACTATATGTATATTT